CCAGGGCCGCCCCCTGGTGGGCTGAGCTGGAGATACACACACACACACACACACACACACACACAAAATTAAAAAAAAAAAAAGATTTCTGCTGAGCAGTGGCCAGGGTTCAATCCCTGGCATGCTGTGCCAGCCCCACCCCCGGCACACCAAGACTGGACATGGTGGCCTGTAATCCCAGCACTTGGGAGGCTAAAAACAGGAGAATCACTATAAGTCTGATCTATTCAGTGAAACCCTGTACTAAATACATTGAAAATAAAATAAATAAGATTTTCCTGCCAAGTGGTAGAGATCCATTAGATATGTGCCAGACACTTGAGATTAAAAACAAAAAACTTGAAGAACTAGGTATCAAAAAAAAAAAGGTATATTCTGGGGTTGCTGGGATTTGAAACTTCTTTAATCTTTCAGTACAGATAACAAAGGAAAACCAGGTGTAGCAATGCACACCTGTAATCCCAGCACTGTGGCAGCCTGAGGCAGGAAGATTCCAATTTAAGTCCATACTGAACACTTTAGTAACTGAGCAAGATCCTATCTCAAAAAATTAAAAGAGTCAGGGAGATAGCTCAGTAGAATAAGTGCTTGCCTGGCAAGCACAAGGACCCGGTTCCACAAAAAAATTAAAAAGGGTTGGGAATATGTCCTAGTGTGAAGGCCCTGGGTCCATTCCCCAACGCCACACACAGCACACATGCACATGTGCGCATGATGAAAATGGGGCAGTGGGGCAGGACCCAGACATGGTGGCCTATGCCTGAAATCCCAGAACTCAGCTCAGGTGGGAGGATTGTTTCGAGTTCAAGACCAGCTTGGGATACAAAGTGAGCTCAAGGCCAGCCTAAACTACAATAATAAGACCCTGTCTCAAAAGACAAAGTAAGTAAATAAAAAGAAAGAAAAGGAGGGAGGTAGAAAAAAATAGTTGCAGATGGAAGACCCTCAGTCTGCACACAGTTGGATTGGAAAGATTATTGAACTACTGTGAGGCTGTAGCACCTGACACTGGCTCTGCTGCCTGTACTTCTGATAGCTGTGGCTTTCCATCAGGGCCTCTACTCCAGCTCTGACCATGTGGACGGCAGATGAGATTGCCCAGCTGTGCTATGAACACTACAGGATCAAGCTGCCCAAACAAGGGAAGCCTGAGCCAAATCGAGAATGGACTCTATTGGCAGCTATAGTGAAGATCCAGTCCTCACCTGGCAAGGGCTGTGACACCTCTGATACTCCAGTGCAAGGTGAGACCTTTTCGCTCCGTGTCATAATTACACAAGGCAGGGCTATTCAGGGACAGCCGCGGGCAGGGTGTAAAGTATGATGTTGGGAGTGTTTCCTGTTTGCCCACCAGGTGGCGCAGTACTTTCGGTGGTGTAAGTCCACCCTGCTAGGATTGGACATCTTGTTGAGTCAGGCTATGGAAATGCTGTGGAGAAACGTCCACATTTACTAAACCTAAGCACTGGGGAACATTCAGCCTCCAAGAGTTCACTTAATGATTGTTTTTTTTTTCCTCTCAGAGAAAAAGGAAGTTGTCTCAATTGGAACAGGAACGAAATGCATAGGCCAGTCCAAAATGAGGAAGAGTGGTAAGTGTAGGTGGGAATCTAAGCAAAGAATTGTGTGGGAGCTTTGGGAACAGTGTCCTTGTCAAGGGGGAAGGGCCCACAACAGTTGATGCAGCTGACCTTTCATTTCCTGCTGTCCGCTGCTCCCCTTGGAAGCCAGCGCTGAGTGAGCTAAAAGCCAACTAGTTTTCATTATCAGGCCACAGGCTTCCTGCGTTTAGCCATTCCGTGTAGGTCTAAAAAGGGCTTTGGGCTTAGGAGAAGGTAGAGGATGTAGCTCAAGTGGTTTCTGACACCCAAAAAATTATCTTGAATTACATGGAACTTTTGGCATCAACAAGAATATGGAAGCTCCACAGAGGTCTGGGACCTTTACCTTCCTCTTCCTGTTAGCAGATTGCTCTTTGAGTCTGTTTCCTGAGTTCTCCAAGTCCTGCCTCCTGTACGTGATGGAGCTGTTCCAAGACCACAGGATTGAATTAAGTGGATGTGTCTCACGATGAACACAGATAGGATGCCAGGGTGCAAAAGGTCTCCAGATAAAGATTTTTCTAAAAATCAGTGGCTCTCAGCTGGGCGCAGTGTAATATCCCAGAGGATATTGGCAAAGTATAGAAATGTGTTTGGTTGTCACAGCTAGGAGAAGGGTGCTCCTGCGGTATCACAGGTAATGCTGGGAGTGATGCTAGGCATCCACATTGCACAGGATAGACCCCTACCACAAACAACTTTCTTCCCCCCCCAACAAACAACTTTCTTGTACATGGTGTTTACAGTGCTAGGTCAAGAAACCCTGCTATTAATGCATTGCTGTTAAGGATTTTGGTATTTTCTGCCAGAGCTCTTCAGTAGCACATGGCCATGCTGAGTGCTAGAGTACCGCTGTATGCTGTTTCTAGGAGTCCAGGCTTCTCCATGTCCCATGTTTCTTTACTTAGTGTCATTTATTTGCCACAGGAGATATCCTCAATGATAGCCATGCTGAAGTCATAGCCAGAAGGAGTTTCCAAAGGTAAAACCTCAACTCCAAAGCATCTGAGTGAGCAGGGCTGGGGTGGGATCCCATTATGTGCATTGGTAATAAGCTGTGCATAGAGATTGTATCAGCATGAACTACTGGGGTCTAGACCAGTGGTACCCATTAAAACCTTGATTTCTGGGCCTACCCCAGAGATTGAGCAGACCCAGGTGGAGCCTAAGAAGTTTCCTAATTCCCAGGTGCTGCTGGTGCTCTGGTGCAGCCCCCACATTCTGAGAGTCACTGGGCTAGTCTAATTGCACATTACCACTGCTCCATCTCCTTGGTCAACAGTAATTCTCTTTTATCAATCACCTGACCAGTCTTTCTAGGTACTGGAGAAGTTGGTTGTTCATTCTGATAATGTCTTATGACTCATAGGTACCTTTGCCATCAGCTCCAATTGGCAGCCACTCTAAAAGAGGACAGTATCTTTGTCCCAGGAACTCAGAGAGGACAGTGGAAACTCAGACCAGGCATCTTTTTTGTGTTTTTCTCCAGTCATACGCCTTGTAAGTATATTCAAGCTTTCTGGTTAATATTATGTTTGTTTCTTTGGTTTATTGGTTGGCTTTTTGAGA